TGTGGGCAGAGAGATATTCCAGAAGGAAGTGTCCTGTGGTCAGGATTGATTCAAGGCAGGGAGGCTGAAGGTGAGGGTGATAATTGGGGCCTCTGTCTATTGTGTGCTCACATGCACTCTGTCCTCGCTGCCTAGGTCACCTCCTGCATTGCCATCAGGTTCCTGGGGCTCTGCCTGGGACACTGGCTTGCCTGCACTTGGCTAGGGTAGCAGCGGTGGGAGATGCTCCTGGGGGAGGGGTGATACTCATTTTTTGTTGCCACTGTCACAAAGGACCACAAGCTGGGTGGCTCAAAACAACAGAAATGTATTCTCTGTCAGTTCCGAAGGCCAGAAGTCCAGGATCAGCAGGACTTTGAGTCGGCAGTTCCGTGCTCTGTCTGAAAGCTCTAGGAGGGGATCCTTCCTACCTCTTCCAGCTTCTGGTGGCTCCAGCAAGCTGTAGTGTTCCTCGACTCAGGGATGCATTGCTCCGAACCCCGCGTCCATTTCACACGGCCTTCTCCGCGCGTCTGTGTCCAGTTATCCCCTGCTTGTGTAAGGACACCGGTCGTTTGATTAGGGCCCACCCGGATCCGGCGTGCCCTCATCTTAACTTGATGACATAGGCAAAGACCCTCTTTCCAAGTAAGGTTTCTGCACAGGTGCTGGGTTAGGACTTCAGCATAGCTTCTTGGGGACACGGTTCAACCCACAACAAGGGGCGCTGGAGTGATTCTCCCTCCCCCTCCGAAGGTCAGGTACCCAGGTGCCCACGGGGATAGGGGGCACAGTTGGTGTCTGCGGAGGTCTCGGGGACTCTGTCCCCGGTTTGTGGGTGTGAGGGGAGCCTGAGGGTGTGCTGTCACCAACAGCAGGTGGCGCTGTGACCTTCTTACTGCCGCCCTAGCAGGGCTCGGAGGCTTGGATTGGCGCTAGAGCAGACAAAGATCTCACCTCTCAGTTGCGAGGAGACAACACTCAACTGTAAACACCAGAAGCACCGTCATTTCAGGGGTGACACGTACCATCAAAATCAAACAAGGTGGGGCCACGGGATGGTGAGCCGGGGACATCTTGGACAGGAGGCCAGGGAACCTAGCAGGAACAGGCCTTCCGAGGTCAAGAGTCTGTGCTTCCTCCTACACCTGCGAGTTGAGCCGGCCCTTCCCAGCCATTTTTCAAGGGCCCTGCAGCTATGATTACGCTCTGTGGTTTCTGGGCAGCTCCCCCGTTACCGTTACCGAAGGGCAGGGTAGCTGTGTCTGAGGAGCACGCAGAAGGCAGCCGTCTGGATGGGTGGGCTGTCGAGATTGAGGGGTCCCTGTCCCCAGAGACCCTGCCCAAAGGGTCCCCCCACTGCTCACCTGCTGGGGTTCTGCCCTGTCCTCATACAAACCGGAGAGGGCCATCTGGGGCTGAGGAACAGGGGCCCTGGACTCCCCATGGGCGAGTAGGCTCCTAGGGGCATCAGTGAAATGAAGCAAAGTGCCTAGGGTGGCCTGGCCCCAGAAGAGAGGCCATTTCTTACTGTGACCCCCTGGGCACTTCTGGGTCCCACAAGGCTCAAGTCGCCAGCCCTCGACGGTGGGTCATTCGCTGATTTCTACAAGAGGTACTTACCCAAGGGCCTCTGAGCATCGTGCCTGGGCTTCACTCTGGGAGGATGAGACCGTAGAGAAGAAATACAGGAAAAGG